GAAAAAGAAACGGAGAGAGGAAGAGAGAATGAGAGGAAGAGGGATCTTGAAATCCTAGTGGACAACCATTTAAATATGAGCCAGCAGTGTGCAGCAGCTGCCAAAAAAGGCAACTCAGTTCTAGGCTACATAAACAGAGGGATAGAATCAACATCAAGTGAACTGTTAATACCACTTTATAATGCCTTGATAAGGCCACACTTGGAATACTTCATTCAGTTTTGTTCACCACGATGTAAAAAAGATGTGGAGATTCTAGAAAGAGTGCAGAGAAGAACAACAAAGATGATTAGGGGACTAGAGAGTAAAACATGAATGGTTGTAGGAACTGGGTATGTCTAGTTAAATGAAAAGAAGGACTAGGGGAGACATGATAGCAGTGTTCCAATATCTCAGGGGTTGCCACAAAGAAGAGGGAGACAAACTATTCTCTAAGGCACCTAAGGGTAGAACAAGAAGCAATGGGTGGAAACTAATCAAGGAGAGAAGCAACTTAGAACTGAAATTTCCTGACAGTTAGAACAATTGGAATAGCTTGCCTCCAGAAGTTGTGAATGCCCCAACCCTGGAAGTCTTTAAGAAGATGTTGGATAGCCATTTGTCTGAAATGGTATAAGGTTTCTGCCTAGGCAAGGGGTTGGACTAGAAGATCTCCAAATTCCCTTCCAACTCTGCTATTGCATTGTATATATCCAAAATAAATAACACAAAACATGCATATTATTATTATTATTGATCAATACACATAAATATTTGAAAGTGATATGGCAGAAGTACTGGAGAACTATTCATGTTCCACCTATCCAAGAGAATTATTTTGCAATGCTACTGAGAAGGAAGGAACTTGCTCTGCATGATGCATTGTCTGAATGGCCAAAAATTGCTATTCCTTTCATATACTATTTGTATCAAATTTACTATCCAGATTCACCATATCAAGAATTAGCACACCAAGCTATCTCCTATTTCTGCTTCTGTTTTCCAGGTACCCCAAAGAGTTGGAGGTTATTGAAAAGTTACTACTGCAGAGCTAGCAAGAAGTCTGGAGGAAATCAGGAGAGAAAAGATGAAAGAACAACACTAATCTTTAGAACACCATCCATCTAGAGTAAGACCAGCATTGGCACCCACTTGGCATTCTTGGCCAATAATTCCCAATAATTCAAAAGCTTGGCAAAGATCATTCTGTCAAAACAGCTGTTTTGGATTTGGTGACAAAAATCAGAAGCATGGTTGACTTTTCTTAGGAAGTCTGGTGTCTTTTATGTATGTAGGAATACTGATGGCATAAGGTAAGAACACAGATGTCATGAAGCCTGGTGTTCCAGTTTATTTGCTTTTATTATTCTTATAAATAACTCAAGATGGCAAAGAGACCTAGTCAGGTGGGTTGGATTGAGAGGGAGTTACTGGCCCAAAGTTACTCAGCTGCTTTTCATGTCTAAAGTGGGACTAGAACTCACAGCCTCCCAGTTTCTAGCCTGATGCCTTAATGACTAGTAACTAGACCAAATTGGCTCTTTATCTATTAGCTATCAGTTATTATAGTTCCAATATTCGAAACAATGGTATGACCCACATTGCCTGTGTGTGTGTGTGTGTGTGTATTTTGGATGGTACGTGTAAATGGTCAGGAGTGTTTCAATATCCTATATAACTTGATGCATCTTTTTAAATCAGATTATATGGTTCTCTCTGATATATTCTTGAGGGATCCAAGTCGAGAACTTGGAAGAATGTGGCATTGAAGGGTTCCTTTTAATTTCCTAGATATAATTCACTGTATTTGCTTCCCAGAGTTGTTTTGGATAGTGAGATGGGGAAGGAAGGAAAGAAGGAAGGAAGGAAGGAAGGAAGGAAGGAAGGAAGGAAGGAAGGAAGGAAGGTTAATTGGTAGCAAAAACTGCTCCTCCCCAACTTATTTAATGATCTATTCAACAAGTAACTATTTATTATCACATTCATTAATAATGAATTAATGTTGATTATTATTTTAAAGTGTGAGGTGCGGTGCTTCAGCGGTTAAGACCTTGAACTTGTCAGCTGGAAAGATGGCAGCCCAGGTTCAAAACTCAAACGCCATGTAATGGGGTGAGTTCCCATTCTCACCTCAGCTCCTGCCAACCTAGAAGTTCAAAAGCACGCAAAATGCAGTAGATACAGTAGATAGGTATCACTTCAGTGGAAAGATAACAGTGCTCCATGACCTCATGTTGGCCACATGACCGCAGAACTGTCTTTAGGTAGCATGACTTAATGGTTTTGAAATGGATATGAGCACTGCCCGCTATAGTCAGCAACTATTAGTCAGGGATAGATTCCAGCTGCCATTACTACCGGTTCGGTAGTAAAAAAAAGTTTGCGCGCTCTGCACACGTGCACATTTTCATTTAAAACGATCTAGGCATGCACAACATTAAAAAATGAATTAAAATACATTTTTAATGAAGATTGTTCTGCGCATGTGCAGAACAGAAAATCAAGATGGCGCTGCCGATCATAGAACCAGTACGGTCACGTGTCTGCCGGAATTATTCCCTATTCGGCCGGACTGAATAGACAGGAACCCACCTCTGATATTAGTGGTGTAAAATCTGCAAGGACTTCTTTACTTCATTACCGTATAATTTTAAGGTAACTTGTTTAATTATGCCTCATTGTCTATTAAAAGACATTATCACTCAAATAATGATTAATACATCTCTGCCAATGACCCCTCATTTTGTCAGGCCTTTGTTAACAAATTCTTACACACAACTACCCAACTTTGAAGCAAATTCTTACAAGCAATAAGAACCAACAAGACATAACACCAACATGGAAACCAGACCCTGCAACAAAGTCACATGTCTAATTTGCCCCCACATCTACACAAATAGTACAATCATAATAAGCAAGACAACCAACAAGCCGACATTCAAGATTAACAAGTGTCTTCCCATGCTATTCCTGCACTCTCCCTCTGGATTCTACTTAGGAAACATCTCACAAAACCAAGAAAAGAATTCATGAACACAAGTTTGACATCAAGATTCAAAACAAGGATAAAGGAATATCAGAGCTTTTCTAACTCCCAGCATACTCCATTGTAGAGTCCAAAGTGATACAGTCACTTTGGGAAATCAGAAGTGTAT